AAACCGTCGTCAGAAAAATTTATATTTCTTACATCACTGAAGTAAATTGTTGTAAAATGTATTAACGTAAACATGATCGTGTTTGTGTAAGATTATAATCAATATATTTTATATCGCCCTTAAACCCCTGACATTTGACAGATTTCATTTTAGTGGTTTTCCAGGTGTTTAGCAACAGGCTAATAATACCCGTAAAAACCTTTGAACAATGTAGCTAAAACAGAGTTCATTGGATCAAATCAAATATATAATAATAATAAAGGCCTATTATTAATATTATTATTATTATTATTTTGATGCGCTACAACTACATTACGTTAGCTAGATGAACTCTCTTGTTGATGTCCTAGTGCACCCATATACATACAAGCAAATAATGACGCCAATTACTGTACTATACGTAGTAGGTGATTACGTTCTAGCAAAGTCTGAGCGAGAGATATTCCTTTGGTCACGTTTGCAACTTCTTGATACAATACGTTATACTCATTTCGTAAACATGTATTATGATATATTAACTCCCAATTGTTCTCTCCGCCGCAACTCCTGACCAGCATCCGAATGTATCAGGAAATGGGTGGCCTTCACATTTTCAGAGTCTATCAATAGAAACAGTTAAAATGTTCGTTCCCTGATGAGACTGATCTAATGTGATACCTGACATTATAACCTGCATAGAAGTATTGCAGTACAAAGAGCCAAACAAAATGTGGTGCTACCGATTTCTTATACTACAATTGAGTAGCAGACTTTCATAAACGGCTATGCTATGTTCCAGATAAATCGAGAAATGTAACAAAAACTGCCGTGTATCTGCAAATACCTGATATCGGCAAAATTATGCAAGAAAATCACATGTCCACATACATACTACAAAAAGGATTAACTGAAGAATATCAGAATTTCGTTCTTTGACCTAAAATGTATTTCGTTTAATGCGCTTTGTTTGTCTAAAGGTGAATCCTTTTCTGTGGGAAGCGGTAGCTTAATCCAAATTATTTTTCATTTACCGATACAATAGTTTTCTTAGAGGTGCATTAAAAAAAAACTGATCAAACTTTCACTCCGACGACATCTTTGATGCAGTTACATTCCCTTTGGGCATTATCTTCATCACGATTATCTTGCAGTCCTGATGCTCTGAAAAAATTGGAAGAATTGATCCTCACGCCATCCTTCTGAAGATAATTGCACCAAAAGTTTTCAACTTTTTCCCTTTTATTTTATGATTTAAAGGCAGGCTTTTAAATATTAAATTTTCAATCCAATTTTCAATCCGTTGATTCCTTTTTATCAACGTTGGATTGTCACGTGCCAAAATCACGTAACCTTTTTATTACTATTTATCACTTATCCGTAATTTGAATTTCTCTTCATTGATAATAGAGTGCCCATTCCTATGGCAAACCTTTTTCAATGATTTTCTTTTGGCAAATTTAATAGTTTATTGATTGTATAATTTCACTCGTTTCAGCGATTCTGAATGGTGTTGACGATCAGCAAAAAACTCTGTAGTTTTTCTCCATTAGTTGCTTTCCTATAAAACATATCTTCTTCAAGGCCACTCAAGATACCTTCTTCTAGAACGTTACGTGTTCTGCGTGATTCGCTTTTCTGTTTCCGTTGAGGTCGTGGTGCGGGGGTCTTTTCGTCATTTTCCGGCCTCTGGGATATTAGGACCCAAGCGCCAATTCATGGACTAGCACCCTTTTCTGTGTAACTTAACTTTAGTCATTTTGGTTTGGGTGCTACGTCTTCCATTTCTTTATGGGATTTTGACCCTCAGCGGTAAGTTCTTTTTTATACACCTTCGGACCACGTGCCTTAATGCGTGTCCGGATGACGTTCGTTCAAGATCTGCTTTCTTTTAGTCAATAGAAACAGAAGAGGATCATCATCCTTTCTCCTCCAGATGGTTGCATCTTGTTGCAGTTTTGCAAATTGGTGGAAGCCATCCCCTTGAAAAAAAAACCTGATGTGAACAGGTAAAATATCATTCTAATTAACCATTTCATAGATCTTTATACATTTATTATTGCTTATTGAAATTCTTAGACTTCTTGATTTTATTGGACATTCTACGTATTCAAATATGGGGGCAACGCCTACATGGCACCTTCTATTACATTGATCATGATTTTGATTTTTGAGCTGCCATAACTTTTTATAACAAGGGTATATTAGCTTACTACATTTTTATCTTTTTTTTTCTTTGATTTACTTTTCTTGTACAAAAAAAAGTGTACATGGTTTTGCTTCAAGTGCGATTGTTTTCAATGAGACAGAGAGTAGAGTAGATTTTTAAATAGTCTCTCTCTAGGGCTTTTTTTAATATTTCGATTAACGCGATTGAGGAGGTGGACCAACCTGGATGAAGCGGTAAGTGAAGTGAAAGTGTACTGATAGTATCGTTAATTTCATCCAGCAATGACCGCATCTGCACCTTTTCATCGTCAAAATTAAGGTTATATGGTGGAAATTTAAAAGTTCCAGCTTTTTACAACTTTAATAGGGAGCGTAAGGTAGCTCTCAATTTGTCAACTGTATGACTTCCGTCAACAGCAACACCACGGACTAACAGCTCATGAAGTAACATCTCTTTCTTAAGGTCACCAACTTCCATTTTGAAATATATCTTGCCGACATACAAACTAATCTTACGAAGGGAAGGAAATGTAATCATCGACAATACTTATATCAATTGAAATCAAACAACAACAAAATAATAAATTCTGTCTAAAAGTTTCAATAAAATTTTAAGTCTGTTCAAAAAAAAATTCAACAAACTAGTTGGCTCTGTGTACTGTTTAAAATGATAGGCCCTAAACGTTGGGCGCCACAAAATTTGTCACGCCTTTTTTTGGTTAATTAATAAAACAATGATAAATACTATCTAACGGTTGGTCCAAGCAAAACAGTTGTCTAGTGACGTGCAAATTTAGGCTCTAGCTCAACAAAGCTGAGAGTAGAGGCGGGTTAAGAGCGCCAGTGACTTAGGACGGATTAAGCCACAACTCCCCGAGATATTAGTAGGAACTTGTTTTGCTTGACCACCACACAAAAGGAGAATCTAACAGAGATGACGAAATTTAAGTAACAGTACACACAGAAAGAGCCAAATAAAACAAGGTATTAAATGAATCACAATATATTGATTAATAAAAAACTACTGGAGAGCGAGTAATAAAAAAAAAGAAAGGATGTTATAAATCTTAAATACAACCTAACAAAATTATTTTTCGAGATAACCCCGCGAAACGTCTACCATGGTTTACGCCCGAAGTATTTACAGATATTTTGCGCCTAAATATTAAACTTATCTGTAGGTCTTCTTTGTCAGGAGCGGCTGAGATGTCCTCGACTCTGGTCAAAAAGTATATATATATATATATATATATATATATATGTATATATATACATATATATATATATTTATATATACACGTCATATATATATACATCCTGTTCACTCTTCTGCATATATATATATATATATATATATATATATTTACATCTTAAGACCATACTGCTTCCTTTCAAAGACAAAGCATTCTGCGTCCACCGTTAGGAATTGCGCTAGCATACATTTTGATGTGTATATAGGTTCCTCGTTGAATTCTGCTTATACCGATATACTTTTTATTGTCCATATTATGAAGGCACCAATATACACGGTATACACTTTTTTCGCGATTTAAATATTATGGTTCCCTCTATATGACAATCTAAATTACTACCATCAGTATAAATCTGTACGTAAGTAGAACTATTTTGATTCCATAAGTTGTATATTTAACGTAGCAATGGTTATTTTGCTTCCGACAGTGTTGCGAAATTTACCATCTTTCAGTTCAGCTTAATTATTAACTTGGTTTGTATCTATGACATATAAGTTATTGGTAAATAGATATTATTATATGTCAAATTGTACTATAACTTCTTAGACACAATACCTGTATTTCTTGAAGAAAAAGATTATTTAGATTATATTTCACAGAGAAAGGCGCTACCAACGAAAAGAATGTATAAATAATACTGAAAGAAGTAAAATCAATCCGTTTGGTAACTTGAAACCGAAATTTATAAGAAAATTGGTAGAGACGCATTTGACACTCAGTTACATGAAGTTATATGAAATGAGCAATCAGTCAGCACAACTTTGTATCAACCTAGGCCCAAGACAATTACAGTCAATGTGGAGATTTGATGATATAGCCGCAGTAATGGTAACATAGATTTGGAAGAAAATGAATGAAAAACGCTAATTTTAGCGACACTTCGCCTTTTTTGTACTTTTACTTAGGTACGAAATAAAGCCCATTTATTATTATTATTATTATTATTATTATATGATAACCATTGTGCCATTAGCCGCACAACTCAAACTAATGGAAAATAACATATCGGCTAAACATGCTTATAATGTTAATGCTTACAATATCTGGTAGTGGAATACTTTTGAACTGAAAAAAGGGAGAGAGCTGCCAATGAATTTTTAACGGCTCTTCCGTTATTTTGGAAGTAATTGCAAAACACCTATCGAGTGTGAAGCAAACTTATACCAGGCTTAGAAAACAACTCGTATCATGAACTCACCAGTTGTACAGAATCTGAATAATAAAGACGTTTATTATTATTATCATTGTGTCAACTATTTAATTTAACAGAAGTGAAATCTGAGAGATGTCCAATTTTATGGGGCATATACTAGGGGTAGATGGAGATGTAAATCGCAGCCCCTATGCATCAATGTCTGAATTGCTAATTCTGATGGAAAAAGGACAAGCTAACGGAAACAAAGGAAAATAATCAGAAGAAATAACAGTGGATTTAGCAAAAACTCTTTTGGAACAGAGCAGATCTGATAATGAGCATGTCGAAAAGAGGGAGGATGAAAAAGAGGATCGGGAAAAAAAAAGAAGTAAAAGAAAAAGTTATCAAATAGCAGTGCAACGCAAGGTGGTATGAACGTTTATATTAAATATGTCCATAAACTATGACAAGAAATACACACATTTACTAATGATACCCTCTGATAGCAGTCTAAGTACAACTAGCGGTCAAAATAAATGAACTCAAGTGAGCTTGATTTCTTTATTTTCATTCACATTCACATTTTACAACTTATTTGCTTCTTTTTGAATACGCATTTTGTATAAAAACTTTAATCTTTAGCCAGTCTTTATTGGCTAGCAACTCGGGGTATAAACTTTTAATTTCTTCACAGTCCTTTCTTTTTGGAGCTTTTTTCATCTTTATGTTCTTATTAAAGAAGAATGTTACTGCTTGCTTCTGTGCACTAGTCCACGGTGTAAGAATACGCTTTTTCTTATTGACAGCCACAGGTAATTCCATTTTCTTTCCTTTTTGCTCTGACACTACTGTTTTATTAGATAACATTTCTCTTATTTCTTTTTCATCCTGATCCTCTTCTTCCTTTTCCATATCTTCTCCATCCTCGTCATCACACCCGTTCTCCTCTAATAGATCTTCTTCTAAGTCCACTGTTATTTCCTCTAATCCTTTCCCTTTATTTTCACCAGCTTGTCCTTTTTCCATCAGAATTAGCAATTTTGAAATTTTCGCGGTCTGGTACAAATCGTCGGGTAGCCTATATGCGTCTTTATGTACCCCAGGTGTATGTCCCATGAAATTGGACAACTGTTCGATTTCATTTTCGTTTAAACTAAATAGTTGACTCAATGTTGCAAGGTGTTTTCTAAGCCTGGTACAAGTAATTGCTTGAGGATTTTTTGCTCCACAAGCATGAGCATATTTTGCAATTACTTTATATCCCTGAATTGGCCCGGTGAGCCGTGGTTTGCCAAAAAAGTAAGGATTTTCTTTTGGGACAAAATTATTCCTCACTTTGAGTAATTCTTTGACATGAAGCTGTATATCGTGGCTGAACAGTACCGGTACACCACGGCCTCTTTTACCTCGTATCACAACTCTTTTCAGATTTTTTATCAGTAGTTTTTCCGCCTCGGTAATGACTTCTTCAAATTCTTCATAGGCGCCACTTTTAATTTCAGAACTCTCATAAGTGCGAAGAAACATCCTTTGCATCCTTCTATTTAGTAGTATTACCCTGCAATAAACTGTCTCCAGCAGAGTAGTGTAAGCGTTCGCATCAGCAGCATTTCTAGCCAACCTGTTCACTGCCTCTCCTGCTTTCAACAACAAGTAGTTTTTTAAAAGCCTAAGGTCTGTTGCTAATGGCACAATAGTCACCTTATTGAATTTTTTCAAGTTCAAATCATTGCCAGCGCGGCCAGAGACATCAAATCTCCAATTTGATTGCAGCAAATTAATCATCGTTTTGAGGCTAGCTTCATAAGTAGCTGTTTCAACTGATGGTTCATTTTTTATAACCATGTGTATTGCAATGTCACAACACTGTTTCAGTGCGGTACTTATATTCATGGCAAATGTGGGAGAATCAAATGTGTCATTAACAGTATCGTAGTTTGCTACTGATTTTGTAGCTTCAACTAGTTGGTCATAGTGCTTCGGTTTCAGGGCATCAAACAGATTGTGTATTGTTGGCTCCAGTTTTTTCAATTCTAGTAATATTCTGGAAAGCTCTCTCATTTTTCTACTCGTTACATTGATAAAATGCTTTTCTCTATGGGTTTTCAAATATCTAGCACCATAGGCACAAATAAGATAATCATTTTTAGCCTCAAGAGATATTTTGTCCGCTCTCATTCTGGGAAAGACTTCGACTTTCAATCTTTGGTCAATTCTTTTATTTTTTACGAGAAGATTCTGCGCTTCAGATTGAGCATTTTTTGCTGACTGACCTTCCAAGCACTTTTTTTTGTGTCTGTATAAAAACTTTGATCTGTAGAATCCAAGACAATTTCCGCACGGAAGAAAAGATGCACTTGGTGAACGAGCCTTCTTCACAGGTTTGACGCACTCTTCTGAATTTTTTATGAAATTGCCTTTTTTTCTTCAAAATTGCAAGTAATTTTCTCCTTTCTACAGAATTCTTTTGATGTGAAAATATTTCCTGAACTTTTGTTTCGCATAAATGGTTCCTTCGCAGATGGCGTACAAAGTTCTGTACGTCCGTCTCACAGAAGTAACACATATCGGTCTGGCGTTTATATTTCTTCGATGCTGCGTGTCTAGAGGGCTCTGCAGATTCGCCTTCACCAGCACAAATCAATGGCGGTTCATTCTCCATTTCCTGAAACAAGCGATGATTAATAAATTGAAATTATGTATTGGTGAATCATCTAGTCATATCAAGTGTAAAATTAAAGAACATAGTAGTTTGGAAAACAGTGATCTCTCAACGTGAAACTAATACCATATGGCCAGGGCTTTTAACCTTGTCTTAGTTGGCCGGGACTATAATTCTTGCCTTAGTATAGTAGCCCGGAGCTTATTCAAGGTCAAATATGAGCGTCACCCCAGGACATATCTAAACGTAATATTTTTCGCTCATTTCATTGCAGGAGTCAAAAATGAGGATCTACGTTTAAAATTCTACCTTTAAATGACCTTCCAGGTCATAGTCGAATCCAAGGTCATCTTCTGATAGCTGAGGATTAATCCTACAACTTTTATTTACAGTATTCCACCCTAAAATGCATTCCCGAAGAGTTACCCATTAGTGGTGATTTGACGTTGAAGATCACTCAATGTGAAATATAAGGATCGCTCAAGGTGATGCTTGAATTTAAAATGTTCCGCCAGTTTCATTACTCGAATCAATAATAGGTCTTTACATTATTTGAAATTTTGTTAACCTTCAAGGTCAAAGTCAAGGTAAAAACCAAGGTCACCGACCGATAGATGACGCATAATCCTACAACCCTTATTTGAAGCATTTCTGAAAAGTATTCCCAAATAGTTGTCGAGCCGTCACGGTATTTTGCCACATCCTGTATGCCATATGTTGCTAACAACGAACTTGGTTTTGTGATGTACATGCCATGAAACATTAAAAAAGTATCATCTTGATTTAGAAATGTTTCGCAATTACAAATACTTCCCCGCCAATTTACGCGAGAAGTAAAAAAGTATAACAAATGGCAAATTCGCAGGATTAATATTTGATGGACTTTTTGGCAATTTTTATAACCTAACAGTTTTAACGCGTATTGAAATAAAAAGTACATAGATGAGGCTATAAAAATAGAACAAAAAAGTAATAAATAGTAAAATATCTCATGAGCTTTATGTTTGCTATACTTTTTTATAATCAAAGAGTTCTAATTTCATTCGCTCATCCGAAACCTAGATCGCGCATGTGATTTGACAAGTGGCGATTATCTATATGTTGCGCATACAATCTTTTTTTATGTCATTTGTATGATCTACGACCTTAAAAAAATTCGGCGGGTGTATTTTAAGCAAAGTTTTAGCGAACTTATGAAGGCGAAAAGTCACATCACTGTTATTATGGTGCTGTATTAGAAACGGAGGTCATATTGTACCTATGTTTGCTGGCTTTTTCGTTCATAATTTACCTGTTTTTGTTTGGGAATGTTTCTTTTGGGTTCTTCCTCTGATTCACTTTCAGTGTCTGGAACAAATTCGGGATCAGCATCGCTATCATATGTAGGAGACGCAGGGGAATTTTGTTGGTCCTAGAAATATAACTCTGTTGATATGGCAATAAATTCACATATCACAGGTCATTGCAGAAGTTACATTTGGATATGATTCGTAAACTTCAAAGTCTATAGCCAAAGGCGGGTTCAGGATTTCGTCTAGGGAGGGGGGGGCGCAAACGATATTTGGGGCTGGTCATTTTTTAATCTCAGTGGAACTTCTAGAATTTATCCTATTATTGCTCCTTAAATCCATTGTGTTCTATCTGGTCAAGGCCAACTTGAAAAAAAACATGGAAAATGCTCAGAAATACTCAAAAGTGCAATATTTTATTATATGAAAACAAAATAAGTAGGTGACATGTATAATTAACTAGTGTAATAATATTAAAGATTCAAACATAAAAAACTTCAAACACAACATAAATCACCTTAAGTGATGTCAAAGAGGGTCAGCATTTGGAGTACCAAAGGATACCAAAAAATCGCAATGCTCAGTTCATATAGCTATAACTTATATTTAGTATGCTTCTGTCGCCATGACGTGTGAGAAAGTAACACAGTGGAGTGGTGTTAGATTACAAAAGCAAGTGTCTGACGTCTAGGGAGGGGGCGCTAAATCCGCCAGTGTCTATAGCTTATGAAAAACTATGACTAATGCGATTTTTGAAGGGAAATTCTGATAAGTGTTAAAAGATTAACGACCATTGCTGCAGTTAAAGTTTTATGGGTGATTATTCACGAACGCAAAAAAAATTCCCCCACCTTGTCCCTAATTTTGAGCCATCCAAAGAGATTTTGAAAAATGATTAGGGGACTGAAACGTACAGAAAAAGTTTGAGCATTTTTTGTATCTTTTTAAAAAATTCAAAACTTTTCATACTCCTCTTAGGAGCAATCTGGTGCCTAAAAAAATCCATATGGAGTTGCCAAAGATTTGCAGGCAGACTGACAGAAATGAGTAGCATGGATTTTTGGGATTGTCACGAAATATTAAAAAAAAAACATGTTTCGATTTCGAACTTTTCTGAAAATTGGCATGAGAAGTACAACGCCTCGTATAAGGAATTGTCGCTATTGAATATTTGTCCCAATCAACGTAAAGAAAAAGTTTCACAAAATCTTTAAGGTTAGGTTGTCACAAAATATTCTCTCCCCGTGGGCCAAAGGACTATTAAGACTTACAAGAATCTAGTCATTGTTGAAACTAACCTTCTCTTGTCTAGTATCATTTCCACTCTTGTCCTCACTTGGAGATAATGATCTGTTACAAAGCCATCTATTTGTTTTTCTGTTATTCCAGAATTTCATCACCTGAAATTTGAATCAATCAAAAAACAATCATTCCTCACCAGTTGGCGTGGGTAGTTAAAACACAACTTACCTCTTCTTGACTGCTAGCCATTTCGATCTCAAAGAAAGTTACTCGTATTTAACAAGTAACAGGCAAAAGAAACTCACTGGCTGCAAAATCGTACTCAAAACGTCGGGAATCAAGATACGACTGGATAGATCATATTGTTATACGTATAGACGCGACATGCTGCGTTGCCAATGATTTTTATAAGAGGAACCAAAATAATCTACGGAATGAAGGCAAAGCTCCAGTGAGCATATTTATACCTCCGCGTAGCGGAATTCCTGTGAACTAAAATCGTATTTTTTGGTTACAAAAGTAGTAATAAATTGCATCCACACATTATTTAATTGCGGCCATCTGGTGCCAGGTATCATAGAACAAAAACTCAACACAGACTCTGCTGGAGAATCGCGTAGGAATCTGTAAAGATTGAAGCATATCTGGTCTTCTAGAGCGGCAGAAATCGAGTTAACTATTTTGAGTCCGATATATGGTATCAATATAGTCATGGAGTCAAGATGTAATGTGCCGTGCATGTTGATGGAAGCAAATGATTGACCTGGATGTAAATATATATATATATATATATATATATATATATATATATATATATATATATATATATATATATATATATATAACCACAATGAAGTGGGCGTCTATGCAAGGCAACAGTCATTAATTAGTACGTTCGCTACATCTTACGCGGCGGCGTCAGTCCATGAGCCACCCTCCAGGGATAGCTTCCGACGATTTCTGCTTCACGTTGATTGCGTAGTTGTACTTTTGTTAGCGTACCATTATCGTGACGCTTCCAGATGATAGTTTCCGTTCCGCTCTTCTGAATTATGTCACGCTTTAGCTTAGCATAATACCCAAGCAACTCGGCTCTCTGGTTTAAGATAAATGAAGTCTTTTGGTCTTTATACCTGCTCCATTTCATCATACACGAATCGTGCATGTGTTGTCAGCCACTCAACCACTTTGCATCTGGTATGGTACAATATAGACGACAAATTTACGTCAATATATGCATTGGTTATGTTTTGGCTTATCGCTAGGGAAGACTATATGTAGTATCTCCTCCTGCGTTAAATGCGCTTCTGACACAACGATGTCAAGCACTAAACCTGGGTCCCTGTACACAGGGTCCATTAGATTTGATAATCTTCACAAGATTATTAGTTTGCGTGCTGTTAAATTTAAACCGTCGGCTGAGTATCATCCTATTGGTTCCAAGTCTTTCTAGTGCTGTTATCAGCTGCTTGTCATCTGGTGGGTGTATCCACAAACCGTCAGTTGGCCCATCTAAATGGGATTTAACTTTTTCGAACCTTTAAGCAGAAACTACCAAGTTCGGATTCAATATTAGCCTCCATGATAGAGACAAATATAGTCCTTCTAAGTATATCTAGCTGGATCAATCTTTGGTTTGCTTAGGCATCCATGTTTCCAGGCGCTTAAGATCTTTCTTCCCCTTTCTTCGAGGTCATATCCGGGCAACACTAACCGCATTTTATCCATAACACTTTGTACACGACGTTCATGTTAGGCTATCTTCA